GTTGACATGAGTATGCAAAACAAATTGATATTTGGATAAAGATGTAAACTTTTTTGGAATACACTTGTTTCTTAATTGAAGACAGAGTTTACACACAAACATAAAATCATACTTATCTTCTACAACATTAGGGTTACAAGATGTACAGATATTGTTACACTTTGGAAATATACCTTTATAAATCTTTAAATCATAATAACCTGCTCTGAATTGCGCAAGCGAGACTCGAAGTTTTTATATTGTAACAGATATTAGATATTTTTCAAGTATAAATTGTTATTTGAGGAGAGAATAGGTATATGTATATTTGCTATTGTAATGGTGATGGTGATATGCGATACAAAGAAAACCTTCGTTCGTTTGGGATATCTGCAGTCCACAGATATACAAGCAATATTTGAGGAGAGATTTAATAAATTATGTATTAAATGATTTTGAACTATTCTTGCGTTACTGTTCGAATGATCAAGTGTGGTGTAAAACTTACCAATATCCATTTCCTTATTTATTCCCTAATGGCACCAGTTTACAAATGCACCTCAGTTGACCATGGTGAGGTAAAGTGCGTGGAGACGCCAAAAAGACTGAAGTATCTAATTATGTATACCAGTCTGGTGGTGCACAACTGCAAACAATTCGCTCCCACGCTCAGGTGCATTAATCTACATATGTTCATTGGTTAAATAGTCAACTCGACAAACACCACTGTCAGTGTGGATGATCACAGTAAGTATAAGCCATTTTTGCTTCTGTTTTCTGCATCTTGATACATAACGGGGTAAACTGAAGACGAGTTTCATGTCCTTTTTATCTGTGAAAAATATAAAACGTTGAGATTAAAGTTTCTACCTAATTTAGATAATACACAAAAAGACAATAAATTGATGATCAATTTGTTGAATTCGACCAATGAAGAAGTTATTAAATCTTAAGCAATGTATTTGAAACATGTATTTAGACTCAGGTGAATAAATTATACCAAGGTCAAGATCACGTTGATTTTTATGTATCTGTTAAATCTGAACTGTACAATGGGCCATATGGTCTTGCATACTGAATAAACTGTCTGTCTGTCTGTTTGTCTGTAAATAGTTACAATGACATTACTGTTGGTGATATGATTAGTAAATTGTGAATAAAAATAAACATATGCCAAAAAAGGATTATGTGGAATGTTTTGTGCGTCTACATGAAGAGACATTAGTCTGGGAGGTTAAAATCATACCTATTACATTATATAGATGTGACTAAACACGTTCAATAATCAGGGTGATTAACAGTAACAAAAACACTTCCATGATCGTAATAATTCTCCACTAACAGCAGAGTACGATTACGGCTACATCATAAGCATGTGTTTATGAGTCACTATTGAATAGTGATGGTACCAGCTGCGGAATGTGCGACAATGAGAGCGTATCCTGCCACACGGGAGGCAGTCAACTGTTCACCTGAAAACAAACATATTGTACAAGTGAAAATGAAGAATTCCACCGGACATCATTTGTGTCACAGTTTTTAAAAAATCTTTGTAGAAAGAGCATGCTCGATCGTACCTCAAAGGTTGTGACGTGTAGACACAAATGCTGAAATATTGCTCCATGTAAATGTTGAAATTTGCTTTTAATAATAATAGTAGGTTTGGTACCTCCCAATCTGTTGACTGACATTGGGAGAGTACCCGGGTTTGCTACCAGGAAAACAGCCCTTGTGACAATCCGGGTAATGCAGAAGGCCGTTGGGGAGCTTTCACATTCTCCGAAAAGTTCTGGATGGGTTGACGAGGCAGCGCTTCTTGGGAGAAGTCCCATTCGCTGTATGGGCTGCGTGTAGAGGGAGCAAGGGCCCTGAGCTGATGATGAGCCTAACCAGCCTGACTGTGCCAGGATCACCCAAACCCTCTTGCTGCCTTTTTGTATTTTGATCTGTACATAATAATAATAGAAGTCTATTTATATGATGTTGTACTTCATACTGATTCCCTTGAAGCATGATGTCAGCTCTTAGACATTTATTACCCCGGTGAATGGATCAACAATCATTATCAGCTCCCTGGGGATTATACAACCCAAGTTGCCAGTTAGGCACTAGACGGTTGACAAACACATTGCCATCCATCATACCGGGTACCCAACGAGACACCACATGTGCTTCATGTGCTTCATTATGGGACAGGACCGAAGCCCTAGAAACGCCGAGGAGCAGAGCTGCCAAACGCGGTCACACATCCAAGGGCTACCCGCAACCGACGTTGCTTTACTTCTTGTGGATTTGTGACTTAGGTGCATAGGACCACGTGCCACCACGAAACAGTGCCATGCACTTAATTTGTCAGCTTATCTTCTTCATCCTAAACTTCACTCGAAACAACTTTATTATCACCAATGTCATGGTCAATTTCAGTTATATCATTCTGTCTAGATGGAGTCACTAAAGCTGTCGTTAGGGCGTCTACTACAGTTACCTAAACTTATTGTCGTTCGGTGTCGTCTTGGTCAGTAAAGCCATGACTTTGCAGCTCACCTGGTCAGCCTCGGGTCAAGTCAAGGAGTGATTGGTCTTTCGACTCTGACTTCGAACTCATTCGAACAGCATTCATGTGCCGTCAAACTCACATAAATAAAGAAATGCCTCACACGGCTTTATACTCATATAGTTTTACTTACTCTTCAGTCCATCTATCAATACATGACAGGATCAGACCGGCCAGACTCGTCACGTAGAACAATCGTGGTTGGTCTCGATCGACTGCAAATCGTGCACTACTCTCCTACGAGGGCTGGTCAAAACGTTCTAAGCCTGGCTAACTTCAATTATGGGCGTTAACAAACTGAACTCGTTAATGATGTGTCGCTATATAAGTGCAATAATCTTGGACGCGACGTTAAACCCCATTTCACCTCACCTCACCGTTAATGATGTACATCGTTTGGTTAGTTCATTGCATCTGCATTTTGTCTGTTGAGGCTGTTTTTATATTAGTGACAGCCAGTTGAACGTTCCTAGTCAAATTCAAAACGAGATTAGTAACGGGTGATGAAACATGGGTCCACCACTATGATCCAGAGTAAAAACGTCTATCCATGGAACGGCACCATTCCACTTCTCCGGCACCAAAGAATGTCAAGTCTTCAAGATCAGCTAAGAAAGGTATGGCCACTGTATCCCGGGATGCAAAGGGTGTGATCTTTGTTGATTACTTAGAAAGTCAAAAGACGATTACCAGTGCCTACGCTGATGATTTGCTTCATCGCTTACTGAGAGATTCTATCAAAGAAAAGCGGCGATGAATGCTGACTGCTGGTGTTCTACTTTCTTCATGACAATGGCTCTTTTCACACCTCTCGACTTGCAAAGGCTGCTGTGCGACAACGTGGGTTCGAAGAGCTTCCTTACTGTCCATACTCGCCAGACCTGGTTCCTTTTTCCTCAACTAAAAGAACGTGAAAAGCGCTATGACGACAACGATAACCTCAAAGCTACCGTAAATGGGTTTTTCAGGGTGGCTTCAGAAAACTGTTTCCAGACTGGAATTGAAAAGCTTTGCTATGTTTGGTATGATCAACGGGTCAATAATACTGCTGCGTTTATCCATTCACTGAAACCATGACTAAAAGATATTTATTTACAATCATGGAATGTTTCATTAGCATTATCAAATAAACACTTTTATTATAAACTTTTTAAATCTTACATTTCTAGAGAATGCAATCTCGTTGATATCACCATACCAAAATATAGAAAAGCATTGGCACGGTTTCGTTGCACGTCGCATGATCTACATATTGAAACAGGCAGATATATAAATACCCCACGAGAACAAAGAAAATGTAACATGTGTAACTTAAATGAAATAGAAGACGAGTATCACTTCCTTATCAGATGTCCATTATATTTAGAACTAAGAATAAAATACTTACCAAAATACTATTACAGTGAACCAAACATATGTAAATTTATAAGTTTATCAAAATGTGAGAGAACAGAGATAAAGAATTTATCGATGTTTATTTACCATGCTTTTGCCCATAGAAATGAAATTGTTAATTGTTAATTAAATACTATCTATGCCGGAATAAAATGAGCACATTTATGGTTGTCATGATGTATATATGTGGGAGATGATTTATTTCAATTTGATGTTCTATTGTAATGACTAATTATGTTGAATTGTATTATGTACTAAAGGCCTGGGGCCTCTTGAGTACGAAATAAAGATTGACTATCGATATGACAAGTGTATTGAAAAGCAGGGAGGTCTTGTTGAAAAATGAAATTTAAAAACACTTTCACAATTGTTGGTTTTATTTGTTGGTATAACATTTTGATCAGCTCTCCTATCATGATCTGGTTCACATAATTCCTGAATTTGGTGCTTTATTTCTGAACGCATAGCAGGACTAGTTGCCTTCCGGGTGGATCATCTCCTGTGGCAACATCATGTTGCACTGAATCATTTAACCCAGTTCCCGAGAGATAAAAGGCAAAACAGTCACGATACCTAGCTAACAACTGACCCAGCTTGCTGCTCCTGTGACCAGTGGGGTGAAGAAAAATCAATATTCAAGTCACGTCATCTTGCTTCTATTTCTGACTGAGAATTGTTTTGCGCCGCTTTTAGCAATATTCAGCAATATCACAGCGGGAGATACCAGAAATGGGCTTCACACATTGTGCCCATGTCGGAATCGAACGAGGGTCTTCGGCGTGACGAGCGAACGCTATAACCACTAGGCTACAAGACCGCCCCTCTGACTGAGAGAGGTTAGATTTGATTGTATAGGCGTAATTTCATATGAGTGTACTGAAGTCCATTTCTCACGATTGTACGATTCCGACTATACCACGAATCATTATCAAATAGTGATGACGCCAGGCCGTGTTTGCGAAGAAATTAGCCTACCCTGCCCCACTGGTGCCACCTGTCACAAACACATGCAAAGTAGTAATGTAACCAATGTTTTTTAGTCCAGTTTAGACTTGAGGAAACCCGACTACCAATGGCTGACAAACATACAGGTGGGTTTCTTCTTTGTTCAATTATTATATTATTTTGACATGGCATTCGAAACTCAGTTTATACGCACTTTTGTCGATGACACCTCGTTAATCCATGTTCCTGCAATATCGTTCAGCTTTCTGTTCAGCTTTATGATTCCTGGAATGACGAGTTATAGCGCTATATAATTCTAACTGTATGGCGTAAATACCACTATCAATGACCTATGGTCTCCCTGCTCGAACATAGAGTTGTTACCAAGGTAGCTAAGACCACGTTCCTCACGGTTATCACTTTGACACATTACTATAGATAATTATTACATCATTAGTTGACACTTAAACTCAATACAAAAAGTTAAATAGTTTTTTTTCGTTTTATCAACAGGGATTTACCACTCATCAGCCGTTGTCCCGGCAACAAGTGAGGATCTCCGGAAGTTGTGTGAAGAACTCCGCCTTGGCTGCAGTGATGAGGACATCGCCGGGGTCCGGGGTACGTCAAGCTCCAAACAAAGACTTCTGATGTCACTCTATACAATAGCGCTCACCACAAACCACACCAAGCCACACCAAGCCACGCCAACTTTGCTCATGTCATATTGGTTGACAAAGTTTGGTATCTATTCTTCAGTTGATATTCCCCAGTGTTAATCAAGGCGACAAAATCTTTTCCATAATAAAACGAAATCTCTGCAAAAAGCAGAGTCTTTAGAACGATTCCGGCTATATCGTAAACACGTGTGCGGCTAGACGGTATCAAGTCAATACTCGTATTCCTGTGTTTTACGAAAGTGATAAACATTTGTCTTCGTTTCGGATGTCCTTGTACATTTAGCTAAAAATTCATCAAAAACTAAGTTATGATTCAAAAGGGCGTTTATCACGCTCTCTGTCACCATCCTGCATCATTTTAAATCTCTCTGGTTTATTGAAATCCTAGTGTATGATTTAATCCCGATTATATCATGCATGTACATATTTTTCAGTGTAAGCGCATCGAGATTTATATATTGTTTTATATAGTTTGCCTGTGCATAGTAACATGGCCCAAATAAGGCTTCCTTGCAGCATTCTGAAAAAATGTTGCTTACTTCAAGATAAATAAACATTCCCAGTGTTTGTCCAGAGTGAATGAGTGAGTATGGTTTTACGCCACTTTAAGCAATATTTCAGAAATATCACGGCGGGGGACACCAGAAATGGGCTTCACACATTGTACCCATGTCGGGAATCGAACCCGGGTCTTCGGCGTGACGAGCGAACGCTTAAACCACTAGGCTACCCGACCGCCCCTTGTCCAGACATTTCCGTCTTTTGAAGGGCTGTTTAAAAAGTATAAGTCTCCCGAACGCCATACAGTAAACACAGTCGCTCACTGAACAATGCTTCCTCCATATTCCAGACAACTTCAGACAGTACTCTGCATGTCTGCAGCGTGTGTACGACCTGCCCGACCTCTCCCTCCCCGTCAAATACCCCCGGACCCCGGGGCACCGACCAACACAGGCCGACAACCCCTGCAACGCCTGGTACTGTACATGCTGTCTCTTTTGGAATCAAACCTATTGTATGTTATAAGGCTGTAGTTTGTAAAAGCGAAACTATCACCATTATATGCTAGATAGCGTATTATTTGTTTGTTTGTTGTTTAACGCCGCACTCAGCAATATACCAGCTATATGACGGTCGTCTGTAAATGATCGAGTCTCTACATGACAATCCAGTGATTAATATCATTAACATCGATCAACGCAATTGGGATACGATGACATACATCAACCAAGTCAGCGAGCCTGACCACCCGATCCCGTCAGTAGCATCTGAAGACAAGCATAGTCGACTTTTACAGCATACATTTGTTGCTGAAGACCTATTCTACCCCGGATCTTCACGGGTCAGATAACGTATTATGAACATGATCGAATTATGGCATATCAAAATTAAGTGAAAAAAGAAAAAGTGGCGGGTATGACGGAATATTTTTAATTTCACGTGTTCAATAATATCCACAGATTTGACAACCTGTGTTTTTTATTAACAGTGAAAATTCATACGTTATGGGCAACCATTCTTACAACTGTGAAAAGGTGACAGCGTTTACATCAGGTGTTGACAATCCGCGCGAGAATGTCATGCCCTACCTGTAATAGTCATGCCCTAGCACGTTAAGCTCAAGATTAGAATAGGTCTTCAGCAACCCATGCTTTTCGCAAAAATCGACAAATGGGTTCGCTGAATTGGTTGATGCATGTCACCGTATCACATTTGCGCGGATCGATGCTTATGTTGTCAATCACTGGATTGTCTGGTCTAGACAAATTATTTACATATCGTCGTCCTATAGCTGGAATATGGCTGGCATTAAAACAAACACACAAAGCGGTAGTTATTACGTCGCTGTCACAATATAGAGTTGGCATTAAACAACATTTACGACCGTCAGGATTCCAGGAGGGATGGCCCCCGTGTTAATGCCGCAGTTGTATACTTGGACTGTCGGTGTTGGAAAAACGTGCTACAGACCAATAAGTGATTGTAATGGTCACTGGCACGCTGAATGCACACAGTTGATGTAAGAGGAGAGGCAAGCAACTCATGAATAAAACTTGCGAAAGAAAACATACCTTTGACATTCAATAGTTGAAAGAATCATCATTTGTTTACCATTAAGGACATCTAAAGCGCATGTTAATCACGGTAATGTGTGATGTTGGATGCAGGTACTGGCGTTGTGACATCTGCTATTCACGGTAATGTGTGATGTTGAATGCAGGTACTGGCGGTGTGACATCAGCAATTCACGGTAAAGAGTGATGTTAAATGCAGGTACTGGTGGTATGACATCAGCTATTGACGGTAGTGTGTGATGTTGAATGCAGGTACTGGCGGTATGACATCGGCCATTCAAGGTAATATGTGATGTTGGATACAGGTACTGGCGGTGTGACCTCAGATATTCACGGTAGTGTGTGATGTTGAACGCAGGTACTAACGTTGTGACATCAGCCATTCACGGTAATGTGTGATGTTAAATGCAGGTACTAACGTTGTGACATCAGCCGTTCACGGTAATGTGTGATGTTAAATGCAGGTACTAACGTTGTGACATCAGCCATTCACGGTAATGTGTGATGTTAAATGCAGGTACTGGCGGTGTGACATCAGCTATTTACGGTAGTATATGATGTTAAATGCAGGTACTGGCGGTATGACATCAGCTATTTACGGTAATGTGTGATGTTGAATGCAGGTACTGGCGGTATGACATCAGTCATTCACGGTAATGTGTGATGTTAAATGCAGGTACTGGTGGTGTGACATCAGCCATTCACAGTAGTATGTGATGTTAAATGCAGGTACTGGCGGTATGACATCAGCTATTCACGGTAGTGTGCGATGTTGAATGCAGGTACTGGCGGTATGACATCAGCTATTCACGGTAGTGTGTAATGATGAATGCAGGTACTGGCAGTGTGACATCAGCTATTCACAGTAGTGTGTGATGTTGAATGCAGGTACTGGTGTTGTGACATCAAGGGATCTGGTTCGGGGCTACTGCTCGGCAGAACAGTCGGGGTCAAGGACAACATTGCTGTAGCCGGGGTCCCAATGATGAACGGAAGTCGTCTCCTGGAGGGATATGTTCCTGAGTTCGACGCCACAGTCGTCACACGAATTTTAGATGCAGGTAAGCCGCATCATTAGTGTATTGATACAGCATAGAGTAATCATCTTCCCGAGGCAAGGGAGTTAACTGACTGTAAAAATCCAGTTTCCACCCTTGTCGAACTAGGCTGGGATTATAGAGTTATATTTTGGCTGGACTGACGAGTCCAAACAAACTCGCTTAACGAAATCGACATCCGGTTCGTAAACAACATGGATCTCAACGTGAAGATTTCTGTCGACTGCAGGATTTCCAAAGGATGTGTACCGCCAACTGGGCATCGACAGATATTTTCCAAATCTGGAATATCCAATCTCGATCGTAGCGCCACCAGTACCTATTACGAGTTATGCCCCTTCTATGTCCCTCCTATTGACCAACTCTATTATCCCCTGTGTTTGCTTCAAACAAAATGGCGGCGCCCGGTTAAGACGACCTGATTGCTAATCAAGATCTATGTTGTAATAAAACGGGTCTTACGCAGCGAAGTGCATCAGATCACTTGAGCACCTAGATTAAAAGCATGAAAAGATTTGCAAAATATCTGTCGACCCCCAGTTGGCGGTACACACGCTTTGCAAATCCTGCACTCGACCGAAATCTGCACGTTGAAATCAATATTGTTTAAAAACCGAATGTCTCGTTCGTTACGCGATTTTGATTGGACTATGCATAGGCTCGTTACTCCAGCCAAAATGTAACTCCGGAATTCCAGCCTAGTACGGCAAGGGTGGAGACTGGACTTTTGTAGTCAGTTACCCGCCCTTGTCTCGGGGACGACCCCGAGTGACATCACAATGTGAAGAAAGGGATAGCGGGTGGTCGGCGACAAGTAGTACGATGGATATGTGCGTGTTCTGTCTCGTCTAAAAACGAGTTCTTGTGGCGAGTTCAATAGCACATACCAGCACTTGCTGATATGAGGCACCCAAGGGCTGTGAAAACGGTGACAGCAAATTTGCAAACTTAAGATAACACCAATTGCGAAGTAGCGTGACGATGAAACGAATTCATAAGCTGTAAAAAAATAAAAACTGCTGTAAACACGGAATACTTTGTTTTACCCCACACGTAATTTATTACATTGTAGGCCAAGACTCGAGCTCGAGAATGTCTGATTTGGCCATGCTTACCTTGCTTTGACATTAGTAATTATCTGTCATCAAACAACTTTAGGAAAATTCGGGTATCAACTTTTCACATCGACCTTTTAATAGTCTTGTGTCCGCTGATGATTTGTCAATGTCATCGTCATGACCTGCACGGGCACAACGTGCGTACACCCTCTGTACCTGTAACAAAACCAAATATGTTTGCCCGAATTCTGTACAACGCCTACTTAAACGGCAAAAGAAAGTATAGGTTGGCAAATTGTAATTTTCCTAAAAACAGCGATAACTAGTGGAAAGTGGGTACTGGGAATGTGACTGCCCAGGAACAGGTACCACAAAACAGCACACCCGAACGCGCCCCCTTTGACGGCGCTCGTGCGGTGACAAAGAAATGGTGAAACAGCTTTCCCGCATATGGCATAAGCTGCACGTACATGTTAACTGTATAAATGCGTTCGTCTGCAGGGTATAACCACACGTGATGAAAGCACACAAAAGAAATGCCACGACTGTCACAGGAGCAGATAGAGAGAGCCATCGGTATGGCCGAAATAGGGGCAACACAGGTCCAAATTGCCAGAAGGTTTACTTGTACACCATTGACAGTCGCCAGGCTGATTCAACGGTATAGGCAGACAGGGAGGACACAGGACAGGCCTAGAACAGGACGACCCCGAGTGACAACACAACTGGAAGACGGTCACATACGGCTCATTCACCTGCGAAACAGATTCGTAACGGCGACGGCGACGGCAGCAACAGCATTGGGACATCCCATTAGCCAACGTACAGTCCTACGACGACTTCGTGCTGCTGGAATCCGAGCGTATCGTCCTTTCCGAGGAATGGTACTGACTGCTCAACATCGACGCCTGAGACTGCGATAGGCGAGGCAGGTTCGACGCTGGCAAGTGAGAAATTGGCGTCGAGTGCTGTTTACTGATGAAAGTCGGTTCAACTTGTTTCGAAATGCCGGCAGAGAATGAGTTTATCAACGCAGAGCGGAACGTTTGGCTCCGGCGTGTTTTCGAGAGGTCCATCCATTCGGCGGGGGAGGTGTCATGATGTGGGGCGTTATTTGTGGAGATCAGAAGACTTATTTGGTGATTATAAAGGGAAACCTGAACGCTGTGCAGTACAGAGACCAAGTGTTGCAGCCAGGTGTGCTTCCGTTCTTACAAAACCAACAGCAGGGGACATTTTTTCAAGACGACAATGCCAGGCCCCATACTGGAAGACTGACTCGGAACTTTCTAAACCAGCAGAACGTTGACGTTTTGCCCTGGCCTGCCCACTCACTCGATATGAATCCTATTGAACATCTGTGGGACCATCTTGAAAGACAGATTAGAGCACGCCATCAGCCTCCCGTCAGACAAGACAAGAATTGCAGCAGGCCCTGAGAGACGAGTGGCAACGGATTCCAATCCACGTCATCAGAAGACTGACGTCATCGATGAGGCGGCGTATCACAGCATGCATTGAGGCAGCTGAAGGTCATACACCCTATTCAAGGCAACTGTGTCGACAATGAACTTGTAGTGTGTCTGACAATTTTTTGCTGACATTTCAGACAACTTTTGAAAATGAAATTTCTTACCCCACCATTGTTTACCTTGAGCTTACATTACCTGTGATTGAACAATTTCATTCAAACTGTGGTTGATCAATCATTTGTTACCCCTCCCTAGATTGTATTATTATTCACAAGAAAACCTCTTCTTGTTATTTTTTTATCGATCATGGAACTCGACCTATACTTTCTTTTGCCGCCCAGTTTATTTACAGCTCCCGTAAATCAGTATAACACTGTTGTGTATGTGTGTGTGTGTGTATGGTTGTAGGTGGGAACATCACCGGCAAGACGTCGTGTGAGGACATGTGTATCAGTGGATCGAGCTTCCTGAATGCCAGAGGGCCAGTGAGACACCCACATGATAAATCACGTGACTGTGGTGGATCATCCTCGGGAAGCGCTGCACTGGTGAGATGGGATATACAAAGCAAATACAGAGTTGATCAATGAAATCGTCTCTCAAATTTGTCATGTTTTAAAATGTTTTGCGACATATATATTTTCTCTACTTGTTGCCGATGATAGTTTGTAAATTTGTAAAAAAAATTGCATTATGATTACAGTCCTTGCATAATAGAGCGTTCGTTGAATTATCCATTAATGTTACCTCATAGTCAATTGGACAAAAGAGGCATAAGCAGTTCCCACTTTTTCTTTTCTAATATACACTGAGTCTTTCTGAGACCGCCTCCATGGTCTAGTGGTAGAGTGTCCGCCATGAGAGCGGAAGGTCCGTGGTTCGATCCCAAACCGCGCCATACCAAAAGACGTTAAAAGATGGTACTTGTTGTTACCCTGTCTGGCGCTCGGCATTAAGGGGCTAAAACAAGGACTGGTCGGCTCGGAGGCAGTATACTCTATCTGAGTGGGGTATTCATGTTAAACTATGGCATGGTATCTCAGTGAGCTAGCACTATAAATCGGCATCAGTCCGGACTAGTACAAGCAGCCACACAAACACACACACGTACATATGCATGCACGTCGCTATATAAGTGCAATAATCTTGAACGCGACGTTAAACCCCATTTCACCTCACCTCACCCGAGTCTTTCTGCCAACAATTAATGACCAGTAATAATTGCAAGTTTGTGCGTCAATTTCGTACGTGTAGTATATGTTTATAACTTTAATAAAACCCAGAAGCACGGGTAGGGTGCTGAGGGAACAAAGGCAATTTAAGTGCGGGATCCAAATACTTTCTCCTTGTTCAATGTCGACGCGTTTAGTTTACTTTTTAACCATTTCTTCGTCAGCTCAGCCTTGGCGAGATAGACCTAGCTCTTGGTACTGATCAGCTCGGCTCCATCCGCATCCCTGCCTCCTGGACGGGCGTGGTCGGGCTGATGCCCACATTCGGTCTCGTGCCCTTCACTGGGGCAGCATCTATAGACACATGCAGAGACGTCATCGGGCCCATGGCTAGAACAGTCACAGACTGCGCTCTGCTGTTGCAGGTATGGGAAGCATAAAAGTACCCTCTACCATATTATACCAACAGCAAACATGTACATGTGTGAAGAATAAGGATATGTTTTATTCCATACTTAAAGAGTGAGTGAGTTTGGTTAAACAGTATTCCAGTTATATCGCGGCGTGTCAGCTTTATGTGGGAGGAAGCCCGAAGTGATGCAGGTCTCAGACGTTTACCACTTCGGTGTAATCCACGAGCACGGGTATGGTGCTGACAAACCTAGAAACATTATCGGGGCGAACCGGGATTCGAACCCACAATCATAGGTTTCTGGCGTGCCAAAGGGACGCAACTCTGCACAGCGAATCGCGACGCCTTAGACGACTGGGCCACCCGTGCCCCCTATACTGAAAGACCTCAGGCCCATAGTACAATATGTATGTAGTTGGTGCGTTATTTACTCTACGATACGAATACCTTTGATGGGGAATAAGTAAGTCTTTATAGGCATTTTGAAGTTGGATGTTAACATGACAATGAGTACAAATTTGCATGACAACATGTATATGTAAAACAAAGAATTCGTTAACAATAATGATACTTATTGTTTTGTATACAATATCAAAACATACATACAGATCATAGACAATGCAGATTATGTGCGGCCAATTACAAGTTATGTGTGTGTGGTGTGTGTGTGTGTGTGTGGGGGGGGGGGGGGGGGGGGCTTTTTTGAAGGGGTTGGGGTTGGAGGGGGTGGTGGTGGTGGTGGTGGTGGCTTGGCGTCTTCCGCTCGTCTGTCATACAACGCTAGGGGTACAGCATTTATGTTCAATCTACATGTGTGTGATGCATCAGTGCCAGGTTCGTCTGTGTCCAGCTGTGGACACTGATGACATCGATGACATTGCTTTATTGTAGATTGACATAAAATCAATCAGTTAAATATGTTTATTGATCCTTTTATATCGAAAGCAACATAACGTTAGGATTATTATCTTTTACGTGGATTAATGCAACTTCAACGTATGCGTATAGTTTGTTTGTGTGTTTGTTTGTTGCTTTACAAACATTCCAGCTATATGACGGCGGTCTGTAATTGATCGAGTGTGATCGAGACGATTCAATTCAGTGATTTGCGTCATGAGCATCGACCTACGCAATTAGGATACGATGACATTCAAAGTTAGCGAGCCTGACCAACTGATCCCATTAGTTGTCGCATAGTCGCGGATCGTCCGTCAGGCATGTGTTACTGAAGACCGTTTCTAACCCGAACTACGTATGGACTGACACTTATGTATATGAATATATGTGCGTTTAAAATAACGGACCCGTGAAAATCCGGGGTAGAATAAGTCTTCAGCAACCCATGCTTGTCGTAAAAGGCGACTGTGCTTGTCGTAAGAGGTGACTAACGGGATCAGGTGGTCAGGCTCGCTGACTAGGTTGATGCATGATCGATGTTCGTGATGTCAATCACTGGATTGTCTGGTCCAGACTCGATTATTTACAGACCGCCGCCAAATAGCTAGAATATTGATGAGTACAGCGTTAAACAAGAAACAAACAATATATGGACGTAATTTGTAAGATGGTCGTTAAAGGCCCTGAATACGTATTTTTCTTTTATCCCACATAGGTCATAGAGGGAGATGATGACAATAAAGACCCAAGGCAATCAGGAAAGATTCCTCCTCAAAACTACATACAAAAGGTTTGTGCTTATTATCATACATGTATAGCGATATCAGCCTACAAACCTCTTGTCACGACCCCCCGAATATGTGTATGTCACCTGGCAGGAATTACTTTTTGTTACCTCCATACATCAATCCCTGCTTGCTCGATAAAAGAATCTCTCACAGTGGCGCTGTAAGAAGCCGTGCATCATCATTGGACATTGGCGGTTCAATGTATTGAGAAGGAAGAAACGTTACCTTGACATTTTCAAAATCTAGATTCGTTTCTCTATGAAAGTTAGTTTAATCTGTATATTACAAAAAATAGCAGGGAAAAGAATCGGCAAACATGGGAATACTGCATATATCCCTTAGTCCATGAGCCAGACTCCAAATTTTATAACTTCATAAAATTGTGCATGTTTTCAGCGAAAAATGACATTTATTTTAAAATGCGTCAAAAGTCGTTCTGCACCACACCACCAAAGACAATAAATTCCATCTTTTCAGACTTTTAATAGGCTTGTGTACTTCTTGGCTTCAATTATAACCCACTTTGTTTGAGAAAGTACCATTCGTGTGGTATTTTTAGTGTATTTCCTGGCAAGAGGTAGGATTTTAGTCAGGAGTCACATTTTGTGACCTTTTGACCTCTGGTGACATATATAATTACTGTGTTTTAACATACATTACATACCAGTGTATTGACAATCCAGCTACCAACATTTTGAGGGGTCATACTTCAATATATGACTTTTGCTTGTAAAGTTATTCCACTTTTTAGTTTCCCCTACCCCGAAATATGGTCTCTTGGATTCGACTCGGGTGTCCGACTTTATGTGGTGATTACTACCACTAAGCTGTGAGTCCCGGATTGCTTTCAAACTTTTTTTCATCTATGGATATATGACTTTCAAAAAATTATAGTGAGATTTTGCCACCCCAGGTGGTATCAATATCTGGTCTGGCTCATGGACGACCTATACAGCTTCTGTCACGTGACAAAGAACAAACCAGATGGAACCTCAATGCACACATTTCTCAATGCACACAATGCACCAGGTGTCCCCGCAATGGCGGAACATGTCCTGGCCTAGTGGTAGGCCCCGCTTTGACCATGTTCAGGACTATCAGAGAATGGTATATGGTCTCTGGGATTATATACATATATAGTTTGCTTATTGCCACATTTGCCAAGGGCAAATAATACATTTTTGTTAAGTCGACCGCCTCCGTTGTCTAGTGGTAGAGCGTCCGCCCGGAGAGCGGAAGGTCCGGGGTTCGATTCCCAGCCGCGTCATACCAAAAGACGTTAAAAGATGGTACTTGCTGTTACCTTGTCTGGCGCTCGGCATTAAGGGGCTAAAACAAGGACTGGTCGGCTCGGAGTCAGTATGTTGTGTCTGAGTGGGATATTCATGTTAAACTGCGGCATGGTATCTCAGTGGGCTAGCACTATAAATCGGCACCAGTCCGGACTAGTACAAGCAGCCACAAACACACACACACACGTCGCGATATAAGTGCAATAATCTTGGACGCGACGTTAAACCCCATTTCACCTCACCTCACCTCATTTTTGTTAAGTCAAAGATATCACTTAAAATTCATATCTCAAAATATATCCCCAGCTTGATAAAGGCATCGAGGGCTGTAAGATCGGTGTGCTGAAAGAAGGTTTTGAGATGTGTACCTGTCAATCTGTGTGTGATGTCGTCAGTATGGCCGCCCGGAGGTTGACTGATGCTGGCGCGGACGTGGAGGATGTGTCTATTCCAGAACATGCTGATGGTAATATAAATACAGAAACATGTCACCATAAGTTTTATTATTCACCTCTCGGAAAAGGTCACTTTTCCAAAACATTCCACAGGATTACACGTTACCTAGAAACGTGCTTTAGGAGCTACATGTATGTTTTTTAAATTTGAGCCGGGTCGTTGAAAGCGCTGTGCCGATCACCACGCCCACTTTGCTCCCAGACGGATTAGCTCCTCCTGATTAACCCATCTAATTTGCACGAAATAGATGCCTCGACACTATACGCTCCTTACAATTCCCCAGTTATTAACATAGTGTCCTTGATTTTGTCACTGAATTTGTGCATTTGCCTCAGATCTGGGGTAGTCATCGAAAGCGTATTCTACTACATGCCAACAATCAATCCCGACTGCAGTCGTACCAGCATCGTGCCATTGTAAAGGTCCATAGAATAATAATACACGGAACATAGTGTCACACCATCGTGACACCATGCATTGTTGCCTTACGAGCGCGGAAAGATTCGGGCGGTCGGGTAGCCTAGTGGTCACAACGAAGACCCGGGTTCGATTCCCGACATGGGTACACTGTGTGAATCCCATTTCTGGTGTCCCCCGCCGTGATATTGCTGGAAAATTGCTAAAAGCGGTGTAAAACTATACTCACTCACTCGTAAAGATTCCGGGTTTCAATTGGTCTCCAGAAACCTTTGCTTGTGGCAGAGGTGACTGACGGAATCGGGTGGTCAGGCTTCGTTGATGGATGTATTCGTATCCCAACGATGTTCAATACTTAGAACGATTCTCACTAGGTTACATACTGGATTGTCTTATCCAGACTTGATTATGTACAGACTGCCGCCATACAGCGGGAATATTACTGAGTGCGGCGTTAATCAAGAAACATTGTTCAACCTTGAACTTCTTGGTGCAAACTAGAATTGCCACCCTTGGATCCAGTGGAGACTTGTTGAAAGTTTCTCTTGTACAAAAACATGACGTTTGGCGGTATTTCACAACATTACATCCATCTCACACATGAAATGCAGATATTTCAGGATAGATGGAATACATATGTGAATATGTACCTGACAATATAATATTGTTATCTGACAGGGCTTGCGATAGCTTCCGTGATAGCCACCGAAGGGACCTACAACTGCATGATTAAAGGGAACGGTGAGTTACGAATCAAAATATTTTCACAATAAATATGTTCGAGTTTTTCAACTGTCCATGGCCTTTCAAAATGCTTTACGTATTCGAGAAAACACACTTACGAGGTTTTGGTAGACAGAGCATGCCCTGGGCAGAGGGAAAAACCAAGGGGGCGAAGCATCAGGGGGTGATTCTACATTACCAAAACCGAGGGAAAGTGTTTTTCTATACTTATAAACCGAAAAAAGAAACTTAAAACAACATTTATCAACATTTTTATGTTTCGAACATACTTTCCATGAACCTTAGGAAACGCGCGTAAAATATCTGTTGCTGGCGTACGGACCTTGAAATGGAAATTCTAAAAACCAGTGTGGCTTATCAACAGCTCTGTAGCCTCGTGGTACACTCACTGGGCTACAAATATGAAGGTTGCGAGTTCGATCATCGGGAATATAACGAAAACATTTGTCATTTGATTCTACATTTCATTACATGTTACAACCTGAACGGAAGTTATATTAATAAAATACCCAGGACATCATATAAAATCTCTGGGATATTATAACACATTATATAGCAAATATGACTTGAATATCCTATAAAATCCCAGGGACATTACAACGTCCCTGTTTATGAGATTTAACCCGACTGGAAAGTAAAACCTCACAAAAGGTTTTAATGCCTATAGAAAGAAGTCTCTTACTTAATAGCGATCCCAATGAATAGGTTTATAAATCATATATTTAACATACCAGTTAGGGAACACGCTTTTATGTTTTAGGCAATACCCCAGCAAGATCACAGAGGTTGATAATATGAATCCACCTCACTCACTGTACCCTTGTTGTAAGACCTTTGTTGCAACTATCGAACGCTTTAATCATTTGGTTATCAATATAATTAAGACAACGTCATTCAATCTGAACACAATTCCAGGTTTTGGCTTCTCGTGGAAGGGATTCTATCCCACAAGTCTCCAGGAAGCAATAAGTAAAGGTTATGCAGCCCGACCACACGAGTTGTCCCCCCTTGTCAAGACCTACTCACTTCTCGGTGAGTATATGTATCGGAAGTACGGAAGCAAGTTCTACTCCAAAGCACAGAATCTGGCCCTGATGTTGAGGAAACGATACGACGAGGCATTAAAGACATATGACGTCATTATAATGCCCACAGCCACACATCTGCCACCAAGGTTGCCTGGGAGAGATGCAAGTTTAAAAGGTACATATATAGATCCGAAATGTAGTGGACGTGATATTATTAACGAGATTAATTCGTGAACGTTGGGTGTTGTCGGGTTTTAATTCTGGTATAAATAATAAAACTAGCGAAAATTATGACGAATTCATAGAATCGTATTTTCCTGGAATGTCTGAATATTAAGACAAAACTTTTGGGGGTTCTGACAGCAAATTTTGTAACACGCCAATCGATATAATTTATTCCTGATTCATTATCCGAGTGAATGAGTGAGTGAGTGAGTTACTGAGTGGGGGGATGAGTCAGTGAGTGAGTTTAGCACAGCTTTGAACAGTGTTCCAGTTATATCGCGGCGTGTCAGCTTAATGTGGGAGGAAAGCCCGAAATGATGCAGGTCTCAGACGTTTACCACTTCGGTGAAACCCACGAGTACGGGTATGGTGGTGCTGACATTCCAAGAAACATATTTACACGAACCGGCAAAACCCCGCTTCATCCTTGTACAAATCCTCACTATCAGCCAGATCACACAGTGTATCTAGCCCTTCCACGGTAACCATGACATAGGGTACAAGTGACTGCTAGTCGATATTAGTGTGAAATGTTGGTAATATGGACGGTTATGTATATCCAAAATATCTCCATTCACCTCCTTTTAGTAAGCAACTACCGAATCGTATTTCCAAATAGCAACAATATTTCGGCATAACTCAGTTTGTGAAAACGATTTGCAACGAAACGCCAATGTTTCCCTTACACCAGAAAACATCACCCGTTTGACACTGTCAGCGTTGTAGGTATGAAGTAATTCGTAGGGGTAGGTTTTAATGTATATGTCGTCCCGACTGTGCATGAATACGTTTTATACACTGTCACGCAAATTAATTTGGGACATAATGACTCTGTGTTGTTACTGGTTAGGGCTCATCCCACCCATATTAAATCGTCCTTATTTCAAGTCTTCGGGGTAATATGGTTCCACACAGTTATGACCATCATAATTCTTTGGGATTCAGATATCCTTGACCGTGGCTTGTCGATGTTCGGGAATACAGCCCCCTTCAACTGCACTGGTCATCCCGCCCTCACTGTCAACGCCGGTCGTGTCGAGGGACTTCCGGTCGGTATGATGATTGTTGGCAGACATTTTGATGACCTCACGATATTACAGGTGGCAAGAGCCTATGAGAAGATCCGAGAAGACTAATCGAACATCAATCATAGAACACTACTTTAGTCATTTTGTGTTTGTCCAGGGATAAGGATTGTGTGAAGAAGTATAGCATTATACTATAACAGAGATGATTCTTTCTTACTTAATAGTCAAGATAATAAAGTACTTTTTTCTTATCGTGCTTAAAGAGAAGGGGACCGTATATTTTTTTGGTTTCTTAATTCATTTGGTTGTGTACGGAAGCGTGGTAGGGCCACGGTGAATTTCTAAGTCTAAGTATCTCCTACGTAGGACTTTCTCTCTCCTACGTAGGACTTACTCTCTCCTACGTAGGACTTACTCTCTCCTACGTAGGACTTACTGTCTCCTACGTAGGACTTACTCTCTCCTACGTAGGACTTACTCTCTCCTACGTAGGACTTACTCTCTCCTACGTAGGACTTACTGTCTCCTACGTAGGACTTACTCTCTCCTACGTAGGACTTACTCTCTCCTACGTAGGACTTACTCTCTCCTACGTAGGACTTACTGTCTCCTACGTAGGACTTACTCTCTCCTACGTAGGACTTACTGTCTCCTACGTTGGAGATAGTTATTCTAGGCCATATTAAGTCCTACGTAGGAAATACTTAGACAAAAAATATCGCCGTGGCCCCACTACGCTTCCGTAGTTGTGCCTTCTGTCAATGAATGTTGGACTCATTTAGTTACAGCTTGTGTAGACCATTGCATCACGCTCCATCTCTTATATATTATTATATTTTATGTATACACAGCAGCAAAAGTCCCCATGACACGATATAAAACAGGAACCTGGTCAAAGTAGACGCACAAGTCTGAAAGAATTCATATTGTCAAACAGACAAGGGTCCAGTAAACAAATTACACACTTAATGACATATGTCTAGCACGGAAATGATGTTATGATGAGAGAAAGATGCAAGGAGCGTGTTTTTGACCCGCTTGCTTGGATGCATGCAATGCATCTCCTTCGCATTATTTCTGGTGTCCCCCGCCGTGATATTGCTGGAATATTGCTAAAAGCGGCATAAAATCAAACTCACTCACTCACTCCTTCGCATTGAACGGATCAAACGACTAACACAGTATTGTGGGATGGCATCCCATATCTCCACAAGCCTGTCTCAGTTCCTGTACTCTAGTCAGAGCACGTGGTAAACGTCGGAGACGGCGGTCCATTTCATCCCACAGGTGTTCAATTGGAGAAAGATCTAGAGAGCGAGCAGGTCAGATCATGCTTTTCTGCTGCGGTTGCGTTTGTGCTACATGTTTTCATATTTTCGTATCCGATTTGAATACCAGAAAGGTTTTTCCTGTATGCAACCGATTGGAAAAGGTGGCCATACGATTTTTTGTTAATGTGGACTTTTCAGACTTGCTCCGCTTCCAGCTTGAGTATCATTACGTATTATTACTTCTCATCTTTTTTGTAGTACTGTGTAACTTGGGTGATCTTAATAAACTTGAAATTGACTACAGCATGTTTGTGATCCATCCATATAATTTCCATCGCTAGTTTACCTTTTATGTACAATGGAATATGTTTCGGTTGAAAAGCGAGAATGGTTATGCTCTGGCATTGAAGTGTTATACGGTTTACATAAGTGATTTGTCTGCTATAACAAGGAGGCTACTCCAGTTATCTTGAAGCAGATACCTGTTCAAAAATATTAAAAACAACTAAATTTACTTCTCTTCCACTAACCTGATTAAGCGTGCAAGGACTGACGGGACATGTAAGCAGTATCTCACACAATGTCATTTTCATATACGGTAAACTACGGTTATAACGAACTCAAAGGGACCACTAATTTTAGTTCGTTGTAGCCCTGGTTCGTTATATGCATATATACAGCATAACTACAGCATAACTACAGCAAATAGTCGTTATATCCGTCAGTTCGTTATAAGCGCGTTCGTTATAACCGTAGTTTACTGTAATCTTATTATTAATCTTCATTGATGTCTGTTTCTTTATCACTTTGGGCCCCTCCATGTTGTTCCAAGTCTTCAGGCTCAGAGAGACATTGGGCCTGTCTCTGAATCCATAGATCTCACTTTATCCAGAATAGGTTTGAAGATAGGTTCATTACCAAAGGAGCTCACGTAAATAAAGCGACAAAACCCTTTCCAGAAATATCTGCATACAACAGAGTCGATTGTACGATTCCGACTATATCATGAGCACGTGTTCATGAATCACTATCAAATAGTCATGATACCAGATGTTCGCGAACGTATCCTGCCCCACCAGGGGCACCCGTAACAAACACATGCAAAGGAAAGTCAATTGTTCACCTGAAAAAAAAGCCACGGGAACAAATGGTACAAGCCAAAATAAGGAATTACATCGGACATCATTTTGTCATTGACGCGTCAAATTTGGAAAAGTCCTCCACATGTCTACCATAAAACGTTTTGAAAGCTTGACTGTAACCATTCAATCTAGGAATGTCTCCTCCCTACAATTTATCAGTTTTCTCTCGATCCATAGCCACACCCGTCACCTCACGTTACCTAACCGTGTTCCTGTTCACAGTAGGATATGTACAGAATACTTAACGAGCTCCTGTGTAATACTAATTTTATAAAACGGATTAATAGTTCTTGTATCTGACAAGCGGCATAATTATAGTTCATATAATGAAGTCCACATTGCTTATTGAACATATAGGAAATCTAGAGTCAGTTCGAGAACCCTCTATCATATTTGGTCGAAGGGGAACACGAACATACCTCAAACTAAAGGGATCCCCTATTCTTTAAACTTCAGGCCTAAGGTACGATAAACATCCTGTACAGTGTCTATCAGTAAATATTTGACTCATGCTCCCCACCAGCAGACATTTTACGTGTTATTAGTACTTAATTTTGAATTGAGATCCATATGAATCGTATATAAAATCTGTCAATGAAACATTACACAGGCAATCTTCCGCATATGTATATGCTAGAGTTCATATGAAACACGCTAACAACAACATTTGAAGTTCTAAGTTCTCTGAGTCGCCAGAACATGTTTGTACTTCTCGTTTGTCGGTAAAGCATATATAAGCGAAGAACATGTTTGTACTTTTCGTTTGTCGGTAACGCATATATAAATGAACTGCGGAAATAGGCACATGGAACACTCACTGCACTATATTTATATGTACAACATCACTGGCGAATGATCACTTCTGGTCTCTCTGTAGTTGCACGTGACCCTTATCTGTATACAGATATAGCTAACCAATGAAATTGCTGTGAGTGTGTAAGCACTTCCAAATATGGAACCTGAAATGCAAGAAATACAAAAGCGAAAGTCAAAATACGTTTTCCAGTTGACCAGTCATGACCATGAGTGTGATGTAGTAGGTAAGTGTGGAGTTTTATCCATATTATACATGTTTACTGAACGATTTTAAAAAAGATATTCGGTTCCAAATATATAAATACAGTTAGATGTTAACATTACCCAAGTTCAAAGCAATAATAAGCATCGTTCGATTAGGAGATGTAAAAACATCTTGTTCTTGATTGTTGGTCTCTGAATTGAAATTGCATGGGAGAATTCCATTTCGGTATAGATAATTGACAAGGACGACTTAGATCATTGAACATACTGTCAGCTAATGGTCGGCCTGGCCCAGAGGGGATTATTTGTAGGTCGCGGTGACATAGAGGGACAAGTGTTGACGGTCGCCTGAACCAAACGTCACATAATCAGTCAATAGAGACACCAATGTTCATTGCGTATTTTGCAAATCTGGATTAGTTGTAATTTTGGAATGTGAATTTCTTGTTGACATCGTATTCGGTTGATGAAATACAGTAAGTATGTGTAAAATGGAGAGTTATCTGTAAAGTAAACATACTGGCTGAAGTGAAAGCACAATGCTGAATACGGACTTGAGTGGTCGCCGGATGTACGTGACCTGTATTGCATGTACACTCGGCCCTGTGCTGTGATCGTGTAAACAGTGAGATTCTTATCAATATGGGGGCGGTCGGGTAGCCTTGTGGTTAAAGCGTTATCTCGTCACCCCGAACACCCGGGTTCGAATCCCGACATGGGTACAATGTGTGAAGCCCATTTCTGGTGTCCCCTGCCGTGATATTGCTGGAATATTGCTAAAAGCGGCGTAAAACCATACTCACTCATTCACTCTTATCAATATGGAAATGTACATGTACATTGTGAAAAATGTGTGTAGGGATTAAACAAATGCAAGACAGCTGTTTTCTGTTTATGATTGAATGTGTTTTGGGCATTAACGGAACAAAGGGTTTTGGCTGTTTTATCCCAACACGTTTCAAATCAGATATGACAATACCTCATTACATCATTACAACATATTTTTCTCTGTGTTGATTGGTTTACAAGGGAAACACATTCACGAAATCGTGAGAAATATATTCAGTGGGGGCATAAACATGAACGAAACTATGTCTGTTATGTCGAGTTAACGAACAGCCTCCAGTTGGTTAGTGAGTATTGTTGGTGTTACATTGTATATATTTCAGTTAAAGAGTTTCGGGAAACTCTCAATGGGCCATTGAAGTCATACATAAGTCAGGAACGATTAAATGATCATTTTCTGGTATTTATGGGACCTACGATTGTATATTAATAATATCTTTCAGTTCAAATGCCATTGAATATTCGCGATTTGCTTTTAGTTTCGGTTTTGTTTTGCATTGATAAATACAGCAGCATGCAAACGTTATGGATTGAAAGTAAGATCTTATTTCAACAGAAGCGTCCTATTTTGCAGTTGGTGCTGCCCTATTAAACCATTGACTTCGTCATCATCGCAGAGCAACATAACCAGGTATAATTCAATAATAATAAACACACGTCAAATGTGAATCTTGATATCCTGACCATTACACAATTCCTATCATGTTTAAGATATAAGGAACTATGAACGTGTTATGGTGTTTATCTAGAAACTAAACATGTCTGTAACAGTGTAATGACGCTCAGACACACGCGACAGTGCCATGTATCATGTGTATATCGATAACATATATCAATATAATACAGTGCCATGTATCATGTGTATATCGATAACATATATCAATATAATACAGTGCCATGTATCATGTGTATATCGATAACATATATCAATATAATACAGTGCCATGTATCATGTGTATATCGATAATATATGTCAACATAATACAGTGTCATGTATCATGTGTATATCGATAACATATATCAATATAATACAGTGTCATGTATCATGTGTATATCGATAACATATATCAATGTAATACAGTGCCATGTATCATGTGCATATCGATAATATATGTCAACATAATACAGTGACATGTATCATGTGTATATCGATAATATATGTCAATACAATACAGTGTCATGCATCATGTGTATATCGATAATATATGTCAATATAATACAGTGTCATATATCATGTGTTTATCGATAACATATGTCAATGTAATACAGTGTCATGTATCATGTGTTTATCGATAACATATGTCAATGTAATACAGTGTCATGTATCATGTGTATATCGATAACATATGTCAATATAATACAGTGTCATGTATCGTGTATATCGATAACATATGTCAATATAATACAGTGTCATATATCATGTGTATATCGATAACATATGTCAACATAATACAGTGCCATGTATCATGTGTATATCGATAATATATGTCAACATAATACAGTGTCATGCATCATGTGTATATCGATAACATATGTCAATACAATACAGTGTCATATATCATGTGTTTATCGATAACATATGTCAATACAATACAGTGTCATATATCATGTGTTTATCGATAACATATGTCAATGTAATACAGTGCCATGTATCATGTGTATATCGATAATATATGTCAACATAATACAGTGCCATGTATCATGTGTATATCGATAATATATGTCAACATAATACAGTGTCATGCATCATGTGTATATCGATAACATATGTCAATACAATACAGTGTCATATATCATGTGTTTATCGATAACATATGTCAATACAATACAGTGTCATATATCATGTGTTTATCTATAACATATGTCAATGTAATACAGTGCCATGTATCATGTGTATATCGATAATATATGTCAACATAATAAAGTGCCATGTATCATGTGTATATCGATAATATATGTCAACATATTACAGTGTCATGCATCATGTGTATATCGATAACATATGTCAATACAATACAGTGTCATGCATCATGTGTATATCGATAACATATGTCAATACAATACAGTGTCATATATCATGTGCTTATCGATAACATATGTCAATGTAATACAGTGTCATGTATAATGTGTATATCGATAACATATGTCAATATAATACAGTGTTATATATCATGTGTATATCGATAACATATGTCAATACAATACAGTGTCACATATCATGTGTATATCGATAACATATGTCAATACAATACAGTGTCATATATCATATGTATATCGCTAACATATGTCAACATTATACAGTGTCATATATCATGTGTATATCGATAACATATGTCAATACAATACAGTGTCATATATCATGTGTTTATCGATAACATATGTCAATGTAATACAGTGTCATGTATAATGTGTATATCGATAACATATGTCAATATAATACAGTGTCATATATCATGTGTATATCGCTAATATATGTCAATATAATACAGTGGCATATATCATGTGTATATCGCTAACATATGTCAATACAATACAGTGTCATATATCACGTGTATATCGATAACATATGTCAATACAATACAGTGTCATATATCATGTGTATATCGATAACATATGTCAATACAATACAGTGTCATATATCATGTGTATATCGATAACATATGTCAATGTAATACAGTGCCATGCATCATGTGTATATCGATAACATATGTCAATATAATACAGTGTCATATATCATGTGTATATCGCTAACATATGTCAATATAATACAGTGGCATATATCATGTGTATATCGCTAACATATGTCAATACAATACAGTGTCATATATCATGTGTATATCGATAACATATGTCAATACAATACAGTGTCATATATCATGTGTATATCGATAACATATGTCAATGTAATACAGTGTCATGTATAATGTGTATATCGATAACATATGTCAATATAATACAGTGTCATATATCATGTGTATATCGCTAACATATGTCAATATAATACAGTGTCATATATCATGTGTATATCGATAACATATGTCAATACAATACTGTGGCATATATCATGTGTATATCGATAACATATGTCAATGTAATACAGTGTCATGCATCATGTGTATATCGATAACATATGTCAATATAATACAGTGTCATGTATCATGTGTATATCGATAACATATGTCAATATAATACAGTGTCATATATCATGTGTATATCGATAACATATGTCAATACAATACTGTGGGATATATCATGTGTATATCGATAACATATGTCAAAACAATACTGTGGCATATATCATGTGTATATCGATAACATATGTCAATGTCATACAGTGTCATATATCATGTGTATATCGATAACATATGTCAATACAATACTGTGGCATATATCATGTGTACATCGATAACATATGTCAATGTAATACAGTGTCATGCATCATGTGTATATCGATAACATATGTCAATATAATACAGTGTCATGCATCATGTGTATATCGATAACATATGTCAATATAATACAGTGTCATGTATCATGTGTATATCGATAACATATGTCAATATAATACAGTGTCATGCATCATGTGTATATCGATAACATATGTCAATATAAGACAGTGTTATGCATCATGTGTATATCGATAACATATGTAAATATAAGACAGTGTCATGCATCATGTGTATATCGATAACATATGTAAATATAAGAGTGTCATGCATCATGTGTATATCGATAGTATATGTCAATACAGTGTCATGCATCATGTATATATCGATAGTATATGTCAATACAGTGTCATGCATCCTGTGTATATCGATAACATATGTCAATACAATACAGTGTCACGTATCATGTGTATATCGATAACATATGTCAATATAATACGGTGTCATGTATCATGTGTATATCGATAACATATGTCAATATAATTCTGTGTCATGTATCATGTGTATATCGATAACATATGTCAATATAATACACGTTTTGAGTAATGTTAAGTGGATATGACAACTTTAACTGTTTTTTATTTTTTATTTTAAATAGTTTAACTTAATCATTCTATTTGAAAAAACCGCATGTCTTCATACTCGCCCTGACCATGTACTATGCATTGTTTAGGCATATGGTACATATTGGACAACCAGTCAAATCTAACGATGTAAAATGCATTCTTTTCCGATGCTTCCCTATTATACATTTAATTCGCATATCAATGTTGCGGTATATGTCACTTTGTGATGAGGTTCGATGGAAACGATTGTATGAATGTGAAACTCGGGTTTAGAGAGGAGATGACACATCGTATCAGGAAGCTTCAAGGCTGGAAAACGAACCAGTTTTCTCTGCAGTAAAGTTGGGCTTTGCGACCTAGTTATTTGTGACACGATAAGCAAATGTCAAACCGAAACTCGTTTCGTGTGCATGTGTTCTCAACCTTTATATTCGTCGTTTAGTTTAGAGTGAGTGGGAGAGCAAAGCTCATCGTGCGACAGTCCCTTGCCCGCTGATTGTCCTAAATAGAGGGGACAGCTTCCACATCATGCCAATCTTCAGTGATCGATTTCTAAAGTGTCGGCAAAAGTCAATGTGTGTTGTGTAAATTTGTATAGTTTAGTATAAAAGATCATACATGCAGTATTGTTTACAGAAAAGTAGGGCAATGGTGTATTCAGGCCGCCGTCGTTCGGAAGCAGTAGTGCAGGGTTGGCTTTAGGCAACAAATAGGCACTTACTTTTTTATGCAAATTGTGTGAGATTGTGGGTTCTGCCGGTGGAGTAGGCCATGTTCGCGAACAACTGGTGTCATCTCTCATTTTATCAGTGATCCATTCATATAATGATCATCACGAGTTGGCCTTTTACACTCTGTTGACTGAAGTTTCAACGGTTCCCAATCAATTTAAGCCTAATATAATGAACTATATGTAATACATTATATGTAATACAATTGTCAACCATATTTGGTATTCATTATTAGAACGTGTACGAAATGAGTTCATACATTCTCTGAAAATAATGAAAGTTAGATAATTGTTTGGAATATATTTCGGCACATTCCTACATTGTTGTTGCATTTGAGTGAGTGAGTGAGTGAGTTGGGTTTAACGCCGCTTTTAACAGTATTCCAGTTATATCACGGCGTGTCAGCTTAATGTGGGAGGAAAGCCCGAAGTGATGCAGGTCTTAGACGTTAACCACTTCGGTGAAACCCACGAGCACGGGTATGGTGCTGACAAACCTAGAAACATAATCGGGGCGAACCGGGATTCGAAATCACAATCATAGGTTTCTGGCGTGCCCAAGGGACGCAACTCTGCACAGCGAATCGCGGCGCCTTAGACGACTGGGCCACCCGTGCCCCCTGTTGTTGCATTTGATGTTTGTTGTACAGTACTGTGGTTTCACACGACAAACATGTCGATTTATGTTTACAAACATACGTTTTTGTGTCAACAAAGCGAAGACAGCTTGCCAGGAATTTTGCCAATCGTGAAAAACTAATGGCGAAAAATAGAATCGGTCTACATTTTCACCAATAAGGTGGCCAGCATTATAGTGTTTTTAAGCTCGATGTTGTCGTGAGAATAGTTGTCAAATGTTGGTTGCTTACAACTAATCAGATACTAAGTCTTTGAAAGGCATTTAGAAGTGATACACATAAGACAGATAATTTATGGATGTCAACTTCTTTATTATGGGGAACACAACGTTTCGGAGTATATGCTCACTCCTTCATCAGGTGAATGGATGCTATGATGTAGGGAACATGTATATGTACATGTAAGAACAGCTACAGTAATACGCAACAAAAGGTGGAAGCCAACAGATAATTGGCGATAATAGATGATTAGCATCCAATATGAAGCTTCATGGCATTCATTCAAATGGAGTCGTCATATACTCCGAAACGTTGTGTTCCTCATAATAAAGAAGTTGACATCCATAAATTCTCTTCCTTAATCAGATACTGCGTAGATGTAAACACATTAGTTTTACTTACATCTTCTACAAAATGGGAGAAGTGAAGGGAACGAAACAACAACACATATTTGTCGAAGAAAAACACAAGATGGCAAACATTTTGGAGTTTACTATCATTTGTTTGCAAACCAATGTTGCTCCTGTGAAGCCGGTGTAACAGGACGTCTCCTGCATGTGGACGGATTCGTGAACATAAATGGCTGTTTTCTTTTACGGCGATAGTGTCAGGGATGACAAGTTAAGCAAAATACTCACTGACTAGGAAAATGAGCGATGTTGCGTCTAAGTAAGTGTCTCATCATGCAATTTCTTCTCTGTAGGGTTCTACCCCCTTAGGATTAAAACTGTACATGTATGATTAATATTTTCAGGTCACGAGGCCAGTGAATACTGCTTACCACAATGTGGCATGACAGGAGAAATGGTAAATTTATTTATTCTTTCATACCCGTTGATATTCTAATTTTCACATTGATAAGTAAACATAAGTTGTCAATAACATATCTCCAGACTCCAAACATTTGTCGGTCTGAGCCCTATACCAAGTATGAAGCACTTTAAACGATGAGTCAGCACAAGAGGTTTAGTGAAGCATAACGTAGTGACTTTTACATTTACAATTTCCAATTGTTTATGTGTATTTGTCTTTGTGTCCTTCAGTGATCAACTCATATAATTTTCACCACTTCTTTGCCTTTTACGCCTGTTATGAAAGGTGAGGTGAAATGGGGTTTAACGTCGCGTCCAAGATTATTGCACTAATATAGCGACGTGCATGCACGTGTATGTGTGTGTTTGTGGCTGCTTGTACTAGTCCGGACTGATGCCGATTTATAGTGCTAGCACACTGAGATACCATGCCGCAGTTTAACATGAATACCCCACTCAGACATAGTATACTGACTCCGAGCCGACCAGTCCTTGTTTTAGCCCCTTAATGCCGAGCGCCAGACAGTGTCAGGGTAACAACAAGTACCATCTTTTAACGTCTTTTGGTATGACGCGGCTGGGGATCGAACCCCGGACGCTCTACCATTAGACCACGGAGGCGGTCCCTGTTATGAAAGATAATCAAGACTGATTATTCTCTGGCGATGACGTTATATTATCTTGAACCTCCTAATCACATCAATAGCTTTGAACCACGTCCATAGGTAGTTGGTCATTGCCCATAATCTGACATTACATCATTGTTTGCTGTAGTATGATAAATACATTTATGAAACTATACATAGATTTGGGAATTATGTTTAGCATGGCTAAGTCGTGTTGAATATAAAAAGGTGAGACACTAAAGAAAACAAACTGGCTTGTTCATGTTGTTGTGTGAATTACACCTGCCGACACTGTAATGGCCGGTGAGACTTTTCAAACCTTCCTTTCTGTCAATAAGTCGAACCAAATCCTTCGACCTATCCTTACCACCTTAATTTCTACGCACATGTATCATCTCTTGTTCCATATGTTTGACTCCCATTTCTGGTTTCCTCCGGCGTGATGTTGCTGGAATATTGCTAAATGCGGCGTAAAACCACTCGGTGAAACCGCATTATCAGTGGTTCATTTTAGGAAAGGGAGGTCACTCTAATTTCAAACGGGAGCTATCTCCGTTGTTTTCGTATTTGTGAGAAATGGCGTCAGTCACGCTGTACGTTGTTGGTCCAGCTATTAAATGATTATCCCTAAGGTAAACGTATTCTTAATTAAATGTTTGAATGCATTATATATTTATGTTTCCATCCGTACATCTTCTTAGATTGGTTTAGTGCTGATAACCATTTTCTAAAATGTGGGTCCACATTTTCCCCGTCATATATGGTGATCGAAACAAGTGGGCCCACATTTGTATATCGCCTAGTGGGTATACGTTCTTCCGTCATAGTGATTGCAACAGGAGGGACCACATTTATAAATCGCTAAGCTTCATTTGCTTGGCTTTCTTATAACCGTTCTCTAAAATGTGGGCCCACATTTTCCCCGTCTTATAGTAATCGAAACAGGTGGGCCTACATTTGTTAATCGCTGGGCTTCATTGGGTTGACTAAGTCATTTAGGCTATGGGGCTCACATTTGTCATTACTTTGCATGGGTATATGACATGATATATATTATTCTCATTTTGTAATATTGATGGTAATATCTTTATAAATTATTAAGTGTGACGTTAATTCCACGAAAGGCACACAAAGTCTTTGAAGTTTGAATAACGTCATCATAGCTGGTGGCGATATAAGTCTGAAAATATGTCTACACTTGACTTCATCTCGGACATGATACAAGCCTCAGACTTTTCCGAGAATTTGTTCCATAAAAGGAATAACTCATGAATATTAATGATCCCCAAGTTTGGCGATGTTCGTAGAAGTGAGTTCTGCTGTATCGCCATAGCATTTGTACACACATAAGTCATTATACTTATTTTAAATAGACAAAATAGCAGTTCGTAATGCGGGTTTGTTTACGTAGTACATATTCTCAACAACAAGTGCGTTTAGTTTCGAATGTGGGCCCACCTCGAACTTTCGATTAGGCAAACAGAGTTAGCTCCCTTCTCGAACCACCGATAATGCGGTTTCGCCAACCACTCACTCTCGCACTCTTGTTCGATTGAGTTGGTCGATGTCGAATGTCACAAATACCATGCACATTTGCAGTTCACAGTTTGTTTACTTATCCTGTCTGTTCTCAAAGTATTGACGCTGTTAAGGTACGATGTCCATATATATCCGCTGATTCAGATCATCGGTTGGGCCGTGGACTAAACACGGCCGAGTCACCGGAATCCAATTGCTGCAGATGTACATTTTGCCTTGAACTTTGTAAGGAGACATCCAACGGTAAGAGCTATATTACAAACCCCAGTTCATGCCAATGTAAGTCAGATATCGCTATAAGAATAAATTCCCCTTCATATTAAACAATAAACGAGAAAACCTTTTTCCACATTCAACACATCTCCGGCTAAAAGCAGAGTCGATTGTACGATTCCGACTATCTGCTTGTTGTAAGAGGCGACTAACGGGATCGGGTGGTCAGCCTGTCTGACGTAGTTGATGCATCTCATCGATCCCAATTACGTGGATAGATGCTCATGGTATCGATCACCGGATTGTCTGGTCTAGACTCGATTATTTACAAACCGCCGTCATTTTGCTGGAATATTGCAGAGTGCGGCGTTAAACAACAAACCAACCAACCAACGGATCACTATCAAATATACTGATAATATCAGGCGTTCGTGAAAAGGTGAGCGTATCCTGTCCCACCGGTGGCAATTCAATTGTTCACCCGAAAAAACACGGGGACACCAGGTCAAAATAAGAAATTGCAAGATAGATCATTTATGTTACTGATGCGTCAAATTTCGAAATGTCCTCCACATGTGTACCGTAAATGTGTTTGGAAGCTTAAGTGAGGCCTTCATTGTTGTAACCCTGATTAACCATTTTGAGTAAAAGATGGTATGAAGCTCTTTGAAATCTTCATATACACAGGCTCTATTGTACCTCAAACGTTGTGAAATGTAGACACCAAGGGATGATGGGGGTGAGTATGGGTTTACGCCGCTTTTAGCGATATTCCAGCAATATCACGGCGGGGGACACCAGAAATTGGCTTCACACATTGTACCCATGTCGGGAATCGAACCCGTATCTTCGGCGTGACGAGCGAACGCTTTAAGCACTAGGCTACCCCACCACCCCCACCAAGGGATGAAGCTGCTGGAATAAAGCTCGACATAAAGATACATGTTGGTACCAACATCCCGTTCCGCTCTTTGACATGGTCTGCACGGTATACACGTTTGTCTCCGTACTCAGTGCATGATGTTTTTTGTAGTGTCCGCCACTGACCGGTGACTAGCTCCTCCTCTTGGGCAAACTATGAGTCCGATAGTTGTCCTGATCGGGATCTTTCATTTGTCATCCTCCTATCCAACGTCACGAGCTTCTCCAAAATGTCAAAATGTTTTGGGTTTCCCCTCATCACATGCCGTGATTTAACTCTGAAAGTTCAAAGTGACGTTATGTTCAATTCATTCTCATACGTTGGGCAGCCTAGTGGTTAACACGTTCATTCAGAAGACCCGGGTTCGATGCCCCTCATGGGTACAATGTGTGAAGCCCATTCCTGGTGTTCACCGCCGTGTAATTGCTGGAATATTGCTTAAAACGGCTTAAAACCATACTCCCTCACTCTCGTACGCTAATGTCGCTTTTGTCACAAGGTAAGACACCCGTAGGACACCTGGTGTTGTCAGTGGGAGTTTGATTACGGAGTAAGATGTTGCATTCATTGACTGTGGACTCAAACATAGAAGTATGAATACGATTGCAGTTTCGACGTTTAGTAGCTTTGCTATATACATGTAGTGTGACATAGCATCGCATAACTACAGCATTGCGTTGCTCTATGCATACATAGGAGGACATAGTTGACAGATGTATTCTTGTGTCATGTGTCTCCACAGTAACGTTCTTGAATTAATTTTGAATTATGTCACCTTTGACGTTATTGTCACAATATTATACGAATGCTATATATCAAATAATTTTATTTTGTCTTATCATTTCAGATGAAATCACGGAAGGTAAGTTTCCATGTTTAGGATTTCACACATTAATTTTAACTGGTATTTGATCAAGTCTTTAAAGGGCATTTAGAAGTGATAGACACAAGGAAGACAATTTATGGATGTCAACTTCTTTATTATGAGGTACTCAACGTTTCGGAGTAGAAACTTATTCCTTCATCAGGTGAATAAATGTTAAGAGGCGGAGAACATATTTATGTACCTGTAAGAACAACATTAAAAATAAGATAACAAAGGTTTAACTTAACAAGGGAAGACAATTGTCGCTGTTAAGTGATTATCAATAGACAATGGAAGCCAATGCTTAACTGTGAATTAGCGCTAATTGTTGAAACGATGGACAACTGGAAGCCAGGACTTTTGTCACTGATAAGTGATAGGCAGTGGACAAAGAGCAAAAGGGGGGGGGGGGGGGGGGGGGGGTTTAATGAGCACTGATAGGTAATAGAATGGAAATGGCAATGGACAAATGGAAGACAGCTAGATAATTAGCACCGACGATGATCAAAGCATAAATTCCCAGCACGGGGCAGATATGATGATCCCTGGTTACGGTTGATGGCTGGTTGGTGTCTGATGTCATTGGTTTCTTGTAGTTTTCTTTGTCGCCAGTTGTTGTTGGTAGATAGGGCTTCCTACATGATGATGTGGTCCTGCCTCTTGAGGATATGTTTGGTATGCGATGACCTGTATTATGTACGTAATACTGGTCATATTAAATGTAATATTTTGATTTGTACTTGAAACAATGCAATTGCGCTCCCTGATAACGATATTTTACTGTGGTCTTTGGTGCACTTTACAATACTGCACATCACGAAAAGAACCGTTCATAGCGTGAAGGGACTGTGTTTGAAAACAAAACTATTATTATTTCAGTTTTCGGCAATGTGTTCTCCTGTCTATTCGGAGTGACGTCCGCCGGTATGGTCATTGCCGGTACGTAAACAATACAATGCAGTATTATCACTTTGTTACTTATTCTGGGGCGTCAGGGTAGCCTAGTGGTTAAAGCGTTCGCTCGTCGCGGTGAGGACCCGGGTTCGATTCCCATTTCTGGTGTCACCGCCGTGAAATTGCTGGAATATTGCTATAAGCGGCGTAAAACCATCTCACTCATTCACTCACTGTTACTTCTTGTCTCCAGCATCCTTCACATATTCATACCTACATACCTACATACCCCCTTCGGGATACCGGGTTAGAATATGTCCCCATGATGTCCGTAAGAGCTGATACGGGTTGCACAAACACACGCACAAGTATACGCACACGACAAAGTATACGCACACGACATACATATATACACACTGTTACGTGTTGACTTCACTGTTACGTGTTGACTATATACTATTATGAACGGAAACAATAAACTTGCTCACTCTGAAAACCAGAAATTAGTTGAATCCGTCCACGATTTCATCATCAAGACAAAACGTTTCAGCTCTTCACAAATTAATAATTAAATTAACCGGACAATAACCTCATGATTGACTATTACTTTTGTACAAACGACTTGTTAGACACACACTAGCTGTAACTTTCTATTTATGTTCACTTTGTATTTGTATTTGATGTAATATGTACAAACATATTATTTAAATAATGTCTATATCGATGACGTCACATCCTTCATTTCAATATGTAATATATGTTGTATAGGAGCGGTGTTAACATAAGCTGTAAAGCTTGTTCACCAATCCCAACTCATTTCAATGAATAAAAATATGTTTAAACCACTTCCACGTATTCTGCATGAAATCAACAAACAACATCGAAATGGTATACACGTAACAATCTGGTAGAAAATAAAGTAGGTTTACAAATGCAAACAAATTACTGCAAAGGAATTACAATGGCATTACACAATATAGTGGCAGTACAAAATACAATGCCGTCACAATACCAATGACAATATTTAATTCAATAGCACTTGAGTTATAGCACGAGTGAATAGTTCTGTTATCTGACGAGGAAAAGCGAGTCAGATACCAGAACTATTCACGAGTTGTTTAGAACGCTTTTTAGAATTTCAATGTCGTTTGTGAATATAGGCAGAAATCTACGCAATCCACAGCATAATCCAATGAGTTTTAAGAAAACAATACTTCAAATACGTCAAACGTTGACACATCATCAGCATCAGCTGTCAAGGTTCCAAAATAGTGTCTAGGCTGATGATCTTCACACAACTGCTGGTCTTGATGTAATGCGAGATGAGAGAGGTACGTTCGTAACCCTTATATTGTCTAAACACTCCATCCATCCATCCATCCATCCATCCATCCATCCATGTAGAGGTTCGTTTTTACCTGTTACATGTATGATTCATTGCAGGAGCAGTCGTTTTGAAAGACTGCCAACAGGAACCTATTAGTATGCTAGGCATATACCTTATCCTGCACGGGGTCGTCATCTTGGGTGCACTGGTCATGTACGGTATCAATCGATGCTGCAAATCCTTCAAGAGGACGCTCTACATGACACTCACAATCCTTCTATTGATTGTGCACGTTGGATGTATGATTGCAGGTGAGTATCCTATTGTATGATCTTGTCTCTATATAGGGTCCCGGGTGGCCCAGTCGTCTAAGGCTCCTCAATTCGATGTGCAAAGTAGCGTCCTTTAGGCGTGTCAGAAAGCAGTGATAGCGGGTTCGAGTCCCGGTTCGTCCTGATCACGGTTCTAGGTTAGTCAGCACCATACCCGGTTTAGGGTTTCCCTAATTGGTAAACGTCTAAGCCGTGAATGACTTCGGCCTTTCCTCCCACATCAAGCTGACATAACTGGAATGCTATTGACAGCGGCTTTAACTCAGAATCCGTCTCTCACTCATTTTCCTATCCTTGCACGAATTATATTCCTTAATTAGTGTGAAGTAAGTTCCTAACATGAAAGCATAACTTCTTTATCCATAAGTCTACATATTGAAGGTGGCACCGGACGCTGCAGGATAATAGCGCGTTGAGCATGACCCTCGGTGACGTGGATTTTGCGCTATTCAAATAGCCTTATTATGACATTGAGATTATGTCCCACATCCTTGGCTCGTTTAAGAAAACTGTGGAATGCCTTGTTTTCATCATGAGTCTTGACATGCTTTAGAAGGGGATCATCAGACAAATAAATTTGTGCAAAAGTGCACAATATAATTCAATCATGAAGAGCCTCCACGTTAATCAAACCACGCCCTCCCATAATGATTGGTAGATATAAGCGATTGAGGGAAGAGCGAGGGTGGTGGGATCTATTGTCTGACATCATTCTTCGTGCGAAGGTGTCAATACCCTGAATTTCTTGTTTCGTCCAATCAACAACACCAAAAGAATATGAAAGAACGGGTACAGCATAAGTATTTGTGGCTTTAAATATTTTTGCGAGCGTTCAGCTCTGAACTCCAGATTTTCTTAAGTGTACATTTGCACTCTGCCCGAAGTTTTTCCTTGATATGGGCATTCTTGAGCTTTATTATTATTGTTGTTGTTGTTGTTGTTGTTGTTGTTGTTGTTGTTGTTATTATTATTATTACATGGAATCAATTACAGGATGTCACTGGGTCAACACAGCCACGTGTTATTCAGCAGATCTTTACAAAGTCTCGCGTGGCTTTGTTGTCGCAGTCTGGTTGCTCAGCCTGTTACTCACTGCTGGAGTAATCTGCCTGGAAGCCTTCAAAAGGTGAGACTCGTTTTTGTCTTTTGACGACCGATCGGAAACTAAGCAAATATTACAAGGGATCCACCACTTTTGTCTCAGACCGTTTCCCAACCCACCTCCCCAAATGTAAGACATTAAATGGGGAGGTGGAGTCCAAGCATGTTTCCTTCAAGTTCCTCAAAACGTTTCACTTTGTCAGCCAGCTCAAATTTCGGCTCTACGAAGAGATATTTCTCATTTTTGCAAATGATGGATGTTGTTATACATCTATTACTATTTTTGATTTGATTGGTTAATGTATATCACGTGACGAAACAATAAATTTCAATGCTGACCTAACTATAGAAAACTAACCCGTAAAGGTTTGGTCAACCGACACTGACTATTGACATGTAACGTGATCAATATGGACTTCGTATGCTAGAAAACAACATTGCGTCTGTGAGTGACAATACACGGTAGATCACGTTTAAATGATAATAGGTACACAGAAAGACAAAACGAATTTCGGCATAACAAAAGAATAATTACTCTTGTATTCGAATAGTGACCTCGCCAAGAGAAAGTATTTTACAGTAGTTACATTTGTACACCTAGGGTGACCACAGGCATCACCCTCTCCCTATTTGATGACTACAACACGACTCGTTATACTTGGTGATGTAGGGCTAAGCGCCGTTTTTAAAACCATTTTAATCACATAACTGATAGCTAAAGAATGACAGATAAATCAATGGTTGCGTAGGGAGTCTTCGGCGCCATAGACAAACTTTACCCTCCGGATCTAGTTGTTTGTCCAGAGAACTGATAGCAGGGTGGGAATTATAATATTTTGGCTTAAGAATAAAGGTTAGAAGCACTGTACACAATAGACTTCTTTCATTTTGGTTGCAGGGAGAAGAGACGAGAGAATGAAGCGATCACAATTGAAAATGAAGATTAGAGAGCATTACACTGAAAGAACACAATAATACTAACATTTGCTCTTAGTTTAATGGGCTATTCAACAGACTTAGGTAAACTATTGAAATCCATATGAGCTCAAGACAATCGCTGTGACTATTCATTTTGTTGTATTTTTATCTTTTACTTCTGTGTAACTCCCCACCAAGACTGACGAGGATGAAACACATTAGAATGGTGTTACAGTATATCCTTATTGATAAGTGTGTTGTAAGAGCTCGTATATTAACAGTAAGACACGGTTTTCTTCAAGATGTTGTTACATTCGCACGAGATTATACAATCAAAACGTTAAGCCCTGAGGGATACATTCGTCACAATTATTGATATACAGTAAAAAGCATCCACAACGAATACGCTTATATCGACTCTGACGGATATAACGCACTATTTCTTCACTTCCGGCCACATATTTTATTATATAAAATTAATGGATATGTTGCCTTCCATTGTTTATTGCTAATCACCTGTCAGCACCAATTATCTTTTGGCTACCCTTGTTAAGTTTCCACCTTTTGTCATCTTATTACTTTTGTTGTCCTTACCTGTACATATATATGCTCTCTGCCTCATAGCATTCATTCACCTGATGAAGGAGTAAGCATATACTCCGAAACGTTGAGTTCGTCATAATAAAGAAGTTGATATTCATAAATTATCTCCTTACTGACACCTTGACCCTAATTATCATCCTCAATAAACAATAGCAAATCAGTGATTAGTCTATAGCTTTTGAAGTGGATAAATTCTGTCTTTAAATGCGTCTACAGAGTAAATTCAGTCGGAATGCTTAGGACGAACTACGGTTATAACGAACTAAAATTAGTGGTCCATTTGAGTTCGTTATAACCGCAGTTTACTGTATTTTCAAACAAATTAGATTGGAAGAAAACCCCAAAGCGCATATCCTCGGAACTACATGAACTATTAACGAAGCTGCTAATGTAGAATTATTTTTATTATTAATGAAATAACAACCATTACAAACCAACATTTCCACAGCTGTTATTATTGCCAATTAACCAAATTGACTACAAACACACTTTTCAATTGCAACAGTAATGAACTAAATTGAAGAGACTGTCGGGGATTGAAACTCGCCTTTTCTGGGTGTTTAACAATCAGCGATTGTCAGCCATGACGCCCATTTTCTCGACGTGTTGATGTTGTGGTACAGTGTTTCCAACATTGAGAATATCCTTTTAGTCATGCTCTCTGTAAGTTATGTTGAGCTCTGCAGGCTATAGCGAGTACTGTGTGACTACACTTTGTCAGTATTCTATGTTAACCTTATTATTTTTACGAATCTTATTGTAAGCTGTAGGACGTCACTGTAAGAATATTTCTGTTAGATAACGGTTCTTTATCTACATCGTAAGAGGCGACTAACGGGATCGGGTGGTCAGGCTCGCTGACTTGGTTGATGCATGCCATCGTATCCAAGTTGCGTGGATCGATGCTCATGATGTCAATCACTGGATTGTCTGGTCCAGACTCGATTATTTACAGACCGCCGTCATATAGCTGGAATATTGCTATATTGTGGCGTTAATCAACAAACAAACAAACAAAATCTTCTTTCTTCAAATAAAATAAAAGAATTTAGAACAGAATCATGATTATAGTAATGGATATCTGAAAAAGCGAACATAAAAAATGGATTCGATCCATCAATACACTTAAACTAAGAAACATTTCGATCGAATAAAATTGCTTTATGTTCTAACGTAAGAAGAAGTATTAATATTGTACGAGTGTTTCATTCGGCTGTCAGTGAGACCATATGCATATCTTTAAAAGGAAACCACTGCATCAAGATCAAGGTTTCGATGTTTTTTTAATAAATAACTTTTTCCAAATCCCTGAAAACACTATGGTTTCATCTGTATGGTGTACCTTCAAGGTAGGATACGTATAGATAAGATAAAAACCATTTAGATTTTGGTGGCCGCCTTTATCAAATATTAATCTTTTACTTTTAAACCGACAGTTTCATTCAATACTTATGCCAAGTGAGTTCACATTGACAAATGTTTGTCGTGTTAAGAATCGGATATTTCTTCCTCGAAACAAAAACAAGAGAGTTTATTAAGCGTCGTAGTTATACTTATCTTACAGTAGAAAATACCTACCGACATAACAACCGATGCAAGTAAAAAATATAATGATAGAACTGTGTATTGTGTAATATTTGTGTCACATGCCTTTTCAATATTCATGTTGTATTTTTAGTTGACTAGTAATTTGATATGTACTATATAACAATATTCTTTACCACTATTGTGACATTACGATTGATTTTCTTGATAAAAACTGCTTAATCACAACATTTTATGTATTTTTTCATTTCGTTCCTAAGTTTGTTTGTTTGTTTATTTGTTGTTTAACGTCGCGATCAGCAATATTCCAGCTATATGATGGCGGTCTGTAAATTTTCGAGTCTGGACCAAACAATCCAGTGATTGACATCATGAGCATCGATCCACGCAGTTTTTCCTGAGTAGAATATGTGGAACGCTTAACTTGTGGTATCCGAGATAAAATAATAATTTGCGATAACTGATTCACGTATTTGATAGTGATTCGCAAACATGTCACGCTTAAAATATGACACTCGGAAAAGTCCTATGGACTCTTTCTTTTGATCATGGAAAGGGTTTTATTGCTTTTGTTAATGAAGGAGTGATTGGAAACATTGTCCATCGCTTTAATGGACTATTCTCAACAGTTACGCTCTGCAGTTGATCGTGGATCTTTTGCCTAATTCAACAGCTAGACACAGATATCACTGATGACATTTCAAATGTATGGTCACCCCACCTGAATAATTATTTCGATCTTTGCGGTAGGTCTACAAAACAACATAACTTGGATGTTTTTTTCAGTTTGCTACGCCTCCATGTTTGTGCCCTAACGTAACTATCCTCACAGCCGTCTGTGTTTTTTGCACAGATGGTGCAACCGGCACAGAATTGTTTGTTTTTTTGTTTGTCTTTTGATTAACGCTGCACTCAGCAATATTCCAGCTGTATGACGGCAGTCTGTAAATAATTGAATCTGGACCAGACATTGCAGTGATGGATATCTTGCGCATCGATCCACCCAATTGGGAAACGATGACATGCATCAACCAAGTCAGCGAGCCTGACCACCCGATCCCGTTAGTCGCCTCTTACGACAAGCATGGGTTGCTGAAGACCTATTCTAACCCTGGTCGTTACGGGTTACAGAATTGTGATATCGTAGATATGTGTGATGACATCGGCATAAGATGTAAAAAACTTTGTTGCTTGGATATCATATGCCAGTATTCTTGAGTCGATGATATAAGTGAGTGAGTGAGTGAGTTAGGTTTAACTCCGCTTTCGCTCTTTCATGTATGTTATTCAAAGTAACATTTAACGTTGAAGAAAAGCAGGTCGTAGACATCGGTCATATCAGAATTCGCAGAAGAATTTATAGAAGATACTGGATTAGGTGCTAAGTAGTATAGGACGGGTCCGCAGAAGGTAGTTTTGGTTGATCCGGTTGATCCAGGCGGATGCGAAGGTGATTGGCTGATCCAAGTCACGTGATCGGATAGGATGACTCATGCATCAACAGCGCGTCACAGGTGAGGGGGAATGAAAGGTGTGTGTTTATAAGGCAGAAAAGAATTCATAAGAAAACAAAAGTAAAGGGTATTGAATAGAGCTAAGTGTATGGCGTGCTGTCCTAAATAGACAGACCGTACCCGTCAGCCCAGTTTGAATTGAGCGCGCTTGACAACTCACGTGACCACATATTTGTATAGAAGGCGTTCAGCCCTGTCCCGACTTGCATAGTTGATGTTTCAACGCTAGCGTTTCCATTTAACGCGATGACAAATAAGCCCTACGGTTTGAGTTTTAACCGTGTAACATGATGTGCACAGTTTTACTTCAGAACGTGCTATTTTGAAAATAGATAGAAAACTGATAAGTACATGTACCAGTGTGACGGCACGAAGCTAGGTTTGTTGGGAAAGTGATGGAAGCAATCTATAGGACATTTTCATGTTTACAATACTCACCCTTAATTCGAAGAGAGAACAGAGTTTATCATGGAAAATTGTTTGACGAGGAAAATGTCTTATTGGAAATATAGGTTTATTCATAGCTAATGTATAGCAGAGAGACTAAGCGACCGACCGCCCATAACAATGTCAACATACCCCGGCCTTACAATTAATGTTAACATAACAGCCTCGCCTGAAGCTTCCCATTCATAAATGGTGTGACCAGTGTCCCGTATTTATGATATGTTAGGGAACATGTGTTGTACATTTGTTATTTTAAAAGGGAGTTATTTTAGAGAGGATATATATGGGTATTCCCCCTCATTAAACCTTTCTTTCGTTGGTGTCTATTAAACGTATCCGGTATTTAATACATTTGAATGATGTAGGAAAGTATGTGCGTGTAGATGTTGTACCTATATCCGAACACGAATGTATGACACCTTTCAAATAGATCAATTACGGTTCTAACCACGACACGCAACATGACTATGTGCGTGGTTAGCAGTTCATATTTATAAACACATCGTAAATGACAGATTTCTGATGAATGAACTCGCCCGCACACATGTCTATAGGGTTATGTTCGCCCGAACTGTAAACGGTGACACATTGGATAACAGGAAGGGTGTGTGGAATGCACTCATCCTTGTAAGGGTAAAATACGCGTTTAAACTCACCATTTAAATGATGATGACATTACTTTTTTAGATGTATTGGTATCAGTGAGTGAGTGAATTTAGTTGTACGCCACACTCGGCATTATTCCAGCTCTAGGACGGTGGTCTGTCAATAAACGAGCTTGGACCAAACAATCCAGTGATCAACAGCATGAGCAGCGATCTGTGCAACTAGGAACCGATGGCACGTGTCATCCGAGTCGGCGAGACTGACCAGCCGATCCCCGTCAGTCGCCGATAAGCATGGGTTACTGAAGGTCGATTCTATAACCCGGGACCTTCACGGGTGTAGTATGACGAAGACTATATACTAATATGATCGCTTTTTTAACATACTCACAAGTGTGCTGTGGAGAAAAGAGTGTCTTCCAAGATTCCCTGCACGTGTAAGACAGTATAAACTCTACAGTAGTGTAGCCCGACAAACAGTTTTACTCTCGCCAGCAAACGTATTGGACGTGAACAACATGAAGAAAGCATCAGAGGTTAGACTTGACCCTAGAGATATATTTAGGAAGACTACGTTGAGAAAATCACAACAGAGAAAGAAACCACAAGCAGCCAAGAAGTCGACGCTGAAGACAAAGAAGAGACAGGTAACACCTAAAATGAAAACGATGACAACCCAACAGGGATTGAAGACAACACCCCAACCCGTGACAATACAACATGTGTCGGAGGTGAAGGCTGTGGTGGAACGGGCAATTGCTGCCTTGAAGCGTCAACAGAGTCAAGGGTATAAAAGAAAGCTTTATACCCTCTAATCGCACACCGTATTGGATCACCATGGGGGTTGCCACCTGTCCGGACTGTGAAAAAATGTTTTCAAGGAGAGATGTCATGTTACGACACAGGAGAAATAAACATAGCATACCGCCGCCGCCGTTACAAGCCCGGCCGCCGCCGCAAGTCCACTCGTCATTACAAGCCCACCCGCTAACGCCGCCGCCGCAAGCCCATCCGCTACCGCCGCTGCGTCAAGCCAACCCGCCGTTACAAGCACATCCGCCGCCGCCGCCGCCATCGCAAGTCCACTCGTGGCTGCCTCATTTACCATGTATATCTGATCTTCGAGAACAATTCAAGTTCCTGATTCCCTCAAATGCGCTCGTTGTGGGACCCAGTGGTTGTGGAAAGTCTGTGTTTACCTCTCATGTACTCCGGCATGGCCTGATTCAACCCCAACCTACCCGCATCGTTTGGTGTTATACTCAATGGCAGCCATTATATCAGGACCTCGGTGAGCAGCTGCCTCAGCTGACCTTTGTCAAAGGAATTCCCTACGATATCTTGGACGAGGATTACTTTGATGCTCGTCAACAGAACGTGTTGGTCCTGGATGATTTCCTGGCCGAAGCAAAGCACGACAAGCGTATTTCGCGGTTGTTTACTCAAACCTCACATCACAAGAATGTATTGATCTTTCTCTTGATACAAAATCTGTTTCCGAGAGGTAAGGAATCGAGAGACATTGCTTTGAACGCGCATTATGTCACCCTGTTTCATTCCCCCATAGATAAACAGCAAATCAAACTCTTCGCTCGTAGAATTTTCCCCGAACATATGGATCACTTTATGGCTATGTATGAAAAGGTTGCTGAAACACCCTATGGACAACTCACCATTGATCTAAAACCTACCACCAAAGATAAGGATCGACTGCATGTTAACCTCATAAATGAGGAAAACAGGAGAACAACAGCACAGTCTGAACCTGATCTGCGTAGGGAGAAGTTGACTACAACAGAATCTCTGGATAGTTCTCTGACACAAGAAGAGAGATTGCCCCAACATCAGCTCACTCCAATTGAAACCGATTCAGACACGAGTAGTGAGACATCGTTGACTATGGCCACGGCTTGCGCAGATTGCGGGGTGCTGATAGATAACATGCACGATCTACAGCGACATATCAAACACTGGTGTCCGGCCAATAGCCTTCAACCTAAGAGAAAGCGTGCCAGACTCGAGAGTGATGACGATGACAGTGACTTTGACGACCTAGCCTCTTCCCAGAAAGGCAGTGGTCTTGCCGTCAAATCTCCACGTGGGAAGTCAACATTCACTAATATGGAAGCCGAGGAGTGGCAAAATGTAGGCTTACAACGCATCTGGAAGCAGGTGTACGATACGTTTCATGACAAGATGAAACTGCAGAAAAAACAGTACGAGCGACAGGGACGAACGCAAGAATGGATTGAGAGAAGATTGAAACTGAGGTGGGAGGATCTAGTGCGTAGTACTCTCAACTATGCGATGGAATATACCACGTACTTTAAAGAGGCACCTCTGTTTCAAAACATGCTATACAACCTGGGAGACATGAATCCTTCCACGGAACAATCCGTTCTCAAAAATAAAATCAAACTCCTCCTAAAACCCAAGATGAAAGAGATCCTGCCTTTGATGGATATGCCGGAAATAGAAAGTGAGACTGAATCTGATAGCGTTTCAGAGGATAACGACGGTGATGACGAGGAGGATGATGATGATCGTGAGCAGAACGATTAGGCATAAATACCCATCACTACTATATCAGTCTAACAGTCAGAAGAGAATGCCGAGTCAACGCCACGCGTCTAGTTTGATTCATATTTTGAAAACACCTCGTAA